CTTGTCTGTCCTCTAATTAAGCTGTTGAGAAGGTCCAAGAGAATATTTGTGGCCTCTGGAGAAAAATCTTTCAAAGTCAAGTGACCTTGGCTTAAAGGCTGTCTATGTGGATAAGGATTTATACCCCTTCATGCCCTGAACTAGGGGATGTGCCTGTGTCTGAATGTCTCAGGGCCCAGTCAACTCAGGAGGGGACAGCCACAACAGCCCGTAGCTGCACTGAGGCTTTATATGAAATCTATAGGGCTGCTGGGTGGAGCTTTCTTCACACTCTTACTAACCACTATTCTCTTGACACTGCATCAGGAGCAGAGGCTGGTTTTGGGAGGACAGCTATTCGACTCTTGGGGCTCCTCAACCCTCCTTCCCAAGGAGGTCACAGCTGGATAAATGTCTGCTGGGAAGCTCTGCGAAGACAGTGTCATGAAGGAGAAAACAGGGTTACCTGCCTGTAGTAACTTACATTCTCTGGATGTGTGTCCTTCACACAGACCCTCCCTCCTTCCCTCTGCTTCAGAGCCAAGCTGCAAATAGGGCATTTGGGGGTAGTGAAGAACTGAGAGGCTGGAAGAGAGGGGCTCTGTATACACTTGATATGTAGAGCTCAAGGGAATGGTGTGCACCCTTTAACTGCCAACTAGTGCCCCAAAAGAGTCAGTGACTTTGTAACCATTCCTAAATTGGGTTTCTATGGAGGCAACTCAGTCAGAGAACAAGAATTACTGCTGGTGAATAACATCTATTTATCCTCAGCTTTTAAATCTCCTGTTTACAATAAAAAACAATCCCTTTTTTAACAGGAGACTTTTCTCAGGTGGTTCCAATCCATGTTGTTTCTATGTCACAGCAAGATCTCAGATAAAAGAACTAAGTCCTATGGTTCTGGATTTATTCCTCTTGATAGAAAGTATATTGTAGGGACGTGTACATAGTTTTGCTTTTCATAAATATTAGCGTGACAGGTAACTGATTCTCAATGGCCTCAGGTATTATGTTCTCAAGTGGTCACAATTGGAAGCAGCAGAGACGCTTTGGGCTGATGACCCTGCAGAACCTGGGACTAGGCAAGAAAGGCCTGGAGCACCAAATCCAAGAGGAGGCCCGTCACCTGGTGGGGTACTTTGAGACGTCACTGCTAAAGTGGTTTTTAACTACAGTTGTGTTGCCAGCATGTATTTTATTACTAACATGAAGATTTCATCTCAAAAGAGCTACATAGAAAAGCTCAGGGTTGGGAGATAGGACTGAGGCTTTAGGGCATCCATCTTATGAATTTTGCCCTTATTCACAATGGCGGCCCATTACGTCACTTAGGAATGAATTCCTGATGGCAACAATTTCCCTATAGCCTCTGTTTGCCCCGAGTAAAAATGATAGCTATCCCCCTTTATTTCCAGTGCTGCCATAAGGGAACACAAGCATAAAGCAAAGGCAGGGCAGCTAAGGAACTGAACAGGAAATGGTGAGGAGCTGAGGGACTGTGTGAGGTAGGATTGGGACTTGGAAGAGACTGGAGGGAGTTCAGGGAAATGCGTATGTGCTGGAAAGAGACAGAGGGAGGTGAACGTGAAGGAGCCGGAGGGAGACTGAATGTATGTGGAGGAGTGGAAAGGGAAGAGGAAGAATGAGGAGGAGAAGGAGGAACACAGTGTAGGGTGCAAGAGAAGACAGAGGAGGGGAAAGATTTACCCTTTCTATTTGCCAGTTGTTTGAAGACAGGGGTCTCCAGCCATCCAGAAAACTCTTCAGAGTGGGTGGTCAGACTAGCCTTCACTGCTTGGAACCCATGCAGCACAATCGCAGGGGTGTGTCCCAGCCCCAAAGTGAAGATGTTGCCATGAACTTCTGCCATCTGTGGGCTGCACCAGTGCCATAACAGCACAGGTGAAAAAACATCATGCCAAACAGTCATGATTAGGCCCCACCAAATTCATGGCCTTGAAAAACACGTCATGGACCGTGAAATCTGGTCTCCCCTGTGAAATCTGGTCTTTTATGTGCTTTTACCCCATACTATACAGATTTCATAGGGGAGACCAAGGTTTCTCAAATTGGGGTCCTGACTCAAAAGGGGGTTGCAAGGTTATTGTAGGGGGGGTCGCGGTATTGCCACCCTTACCTCTTCACTGCCTTCAGAGCCGGGTGGCCAGAGAGTGGTGGCTGCTGACTGAGCTCCCAGCTCTGCAGGCAGCAGATCAGAAGAAAGGGTGGCAATACCATACCAGGCCACCCTTACTTCTGCGCTGCTGCTGGCCGCGGCTCTGCCTTCAGAGCTGGGCTCCCGGCCAGCAGCCGCTGCTCTCCAGCTGCCCAGCTCTGAAGGCAGCCCCGCCACCAGCAGCCGTGCAGAAGTAAGGCTAGCAGTACCACTAAACCCCCCCCAATAACTTTGCGACCCCCCCCCCCACAACTTCTTTTAGGTTCGGGACCCCTACTATCACAACACTGTGAAATTTCAGATTTAAATATCTGAAATAAGGACATTTACAATTTTTAAAATCCTATGACCGTGAAATTGACCAAAATGGACTGTGAATTTGGTAGGGCCCTAGTCATGATGAGCCTGCTCTGTTTTCTGAGAAGGCTGATTCCGGGGTTCAGTACTGAGGCAGGGACTGTCTTTTTTTTCCCTGCTTGCACAGCACAGTTGTATTCATTTGGATTATATAAATAGACCCCAAGAGTCAAATGTGTGAACATGACCCTGTCACTGTCCAACATTAAAGAGTTTTAAGCAAGGTTTGGGGTTAGGCATACAGAAACCTTAGCCTGCTTAGTACCATGGCAAACACCATTAACAATCCTATTAAAGATAGAGAAAAAGAAGGAAAAACAGTTAAAGCATTTGAAAGGCAAAGCATTTGTCATAAATATAAAGGGGACAGTAACCACCTTTCTGTACACAGTGCAATAAAATCCCTCCTGGCCAGAGGCAAAATCCTTTCACCTGTAAAGGGTTAAGAAGCTAAGGTAACCTCGCTGGCACCTGACCCAAAATGAGCAATGAGTGGACAAGATACTTTCAAATCTGGAGGGGGGGAAAAAGGCTTTTGTCTGTCTGTCTGATACCTTTGCCGGGAACAGATCAAGGATGCAAGCCCTTCAACTCCTGTAAAGTTAGTAAGTAATCTAGCTAGAAAATGCGTTAGGTTTTCTTTGTTTTGGCTTGTAAATTCGCTGTGCTGGAGGAAATGTGTATTCCTGTTTTTGTGTCTTTTTGTAACTTAAGGTTTTGCCTAGAGGGATTCTCTATGTTTTGAATCTGACTGCCTGTAAGATTATCTTCCATTTTGATCTTACAGAGTTGTTCTCTTATCTTTTTTTGTTCTTCTAATAAAGTTCTGATTTTTAAGAATCTGACTGGGTTTTTTGGGTCTTAAAAATCCAAGGGGTTTGTGCTCATCTTGTTTATTCTCAAGCCTCCCCAGGAAAGGGGTTGTAATGGCTTGGGAGGATATTTTGTGGAAATAGGAACTCCAAGTGGTCCTTTCCCTGTTCTTTGTCTAAATCACTTGATGGTGGCTGCTTTGTCCTCGAACAGTATGCTAAGTTTGTGCCTTGGGAAAGTTTTTAACCTAAACTGGTAGAAATAAGCTTAGGAGGTCTTTCATGCGGGTCCCCACATCTGTACCCCAGAGTTCAGAGTGGGGAAGGAACCTTGACAGCATTAAGTAAGGCTTTCATTTTAAGAGTGTCCCTTGTTCCCTATCCCTAAAGCTGAAGAAAGTTTTTAGAAGGAGACCACCCCTCTATTTAACCACCTCTTAGTCAGTATTAAAGATGGCGATCATTCTCTTTCTGGGGAAAAGAGAAGTTAGTTGAGATGAGCTGGAGCTGTTGTTAAAGTCCAATCCCATTTCCTAGCAGACAAAACTAGACAAATGCATACACGAGGGGAGAGAAAAGAACAGCAAAGATCGAAAATGCAGCTTCTTTCTCTGGGGTTGACTCTTCCTTGCAACCTCATTGCTGAAAAAACAAAGGCATGGCACACAGAGTGATCAGCCACTCCAAGACCTGGCAAATTTGTACTAGCATCAGGCTGTTTAGGGCATTGCTTCTAACTGCTCCTTTGAGCAGAGGCTCACAATCGTATTGCCAAACATACAGTCTTGGCCAGCTGGGCCAGATTCCTATTAGATAGGAGGCAAAAAGGAAGTGGGATAGGAAAGAGAAGAAGAAATAAGGTGAGGAAGGAAAAGGACACACAAAGGGGTTGTGGGGAGATGACAAAGTCTCACACCCACAATCGGAGCCAGATTTAGTGGCTGGATTTCTAGAGAGCTCATCACATTGGCTGCTCTCTTGAAAATCTGATCCCAGTTGTGTGTGTTGAGCGTTTTATAAAATCTTTCCCTGTGATATCATGAAAATCTGGCCCCATATGCTCAGTGTGGACAAAACCTTTCCCCTTCCCAGCTCTATTCCCCTGCATCATCCACCAACTAACATCTTACCTAGGTGTAACTTCCTCCCCACAGACTTTCTGAAGTCTGCAGGACAGGTGCCACTTTGATAGACTTCATAAAACCTGATGGAGCAGGACTCCCTCTTCTGTGCAGTTTATACACCATCCCAGTTTAAATTATGGAACAACAGGTGGGAGATGACTAGATTTGATTTTTCAGTACACATCATACAACCTTCTAAACATTTATTTAGTGGGATGTCTAAAAAAAAAAAAGCCAGTTCTTTAAGGGTCAAATCCAATGTATCTGAAAATTTCTACAATATGAAAATTTATTCCTTCTTCCTCTTCATGAGGCAGAAATACTGTCCTCAGTGTTGTTTAATTCTTATGCACATCAAGGTTTCATGTACATTTGACACAATCTCTGTTTAAAAAATGACAGAATGATCCAAGTTGACTTTCATATCTCCAATTCTTAAGAAATAAACTCTTTAGCATAAAAAAAAAACCACTTTATACTACCAATAAATGTCACTAATTTTCCCTGTCAGCTTATTAGTCTATTAGTTAGTTATCTGGAAATACATACCTTATTGAGGATGTCATGATCAGCTTTAAAGTTCAGCTGCCACAAGCTTCCAAGAATGGGGAATGGGGTTGGTCCTGGAGGAAGGCGTCTACGTGCCCATGGCAACTTCAGAAACTGCACAATCAGAAGAAACACAACCAGCCCTATGAGAGTCTTGCATATTGTCAGCATTTTACTGCTGCTTTATAGAGCTACTCTCTGAAAAGTCATAGAATCATAGAATATCAGGGTTGGAAGGGACCCCAGAAGGTCATCTAGTCCAACCCCCTGCTCGAAGCAGGACCAATTCCCAGTTAAATCATCCCAGCCAGGGCTTTGTCAAGCCTGACCTTAAAAACCTCTAAGGAAGGAGATTCTACCACCTCCCTAGGTAACACATCCCAGTGTTTCACCACCCTCATAGTGAAAAAGTTTTTCCTAATATCCAATCTAAACCTCCCCCACTGTCTGTTGCAGATATACAGGCTGAACCCTCTTTATCTTGCTTTATTAAGGATTTAATGCATTAATTAGTCCACTTAATTATAGGAAGCTCTGTGTATCTCTCAAATCTCCTTCCCTCCCTGTTCTTAGAGCATAGGACATTCACCTTCTAGAGTGTGTTTTATTGTTATGATGTTGTGTTAAACCTCATGGAAACTGGTGGGCGTAACAGCTACCCCTCATTGGGATAAAAGTGTGAAACAGTTAATCTCCTTTATCGCTGAAACAACAGGAGCCTCCACCCAAAACACAGGCGCATGTCAGACACTTTTAGAGAACTTTTAGTGCTCAGTAGCAGGGTCTGCATGGTCAGTCAGCGTGTGGCAGGCTAGGCCACTGTAGACTTACACCCCAGTTTGCTGCAGGCTAACGCACCAGATAGACATGCCTTTGAGGGCCTGTGGAATTTGCCATTGAACTTGAGTCTTTCCTGGCACCAGCCCACCAGAAGAGGAAGAAGCACAAGTAAGGAGGATAGAAGCTTTTCACCACGATCGCCGTCAGTACAGCTCTGTATCTAATACATATAGTGGGAAAGGGGATTCTGATCTGGTTCATGACAGAATTATACTGAAAGGGGTTAGTGGCTGCCATCAACCACAGATCCGGTTGAAGTTGATAGGTGTGCTGAGCGCCTTTCATTCAGGCTAAAGACAGGCGTAATTATATACCCCCTTCATGGTCATGGCTGAAGCAGTGGAGTCTTCCGCCAAAAGCACTGGCCACATGCGAGGCCTGGGCAGAGGCTTACCCATGTGAGCCGAAGGGTTTACCTGGGGACTGACTGCAAATGCTGGATTGGGGAGTTCATTGGTTGGAGCTGTGTGTCTGCATGGGGTAGAGGCAGAAATCAACCAGAAAGCCAGCGAGAAGCAGTGACTGCTGCTTCCTGTGTCTAATATGATTGTTTGACTTTTACATTCTCCTCTACTCCTCATCTCTTTGTTTGTCTCTACCGGTTTTCTCTAGAGTTTACACTGTAACTTTTTCAATACAGGTACACAGAGCCTAATACAAAGGAGCCCTGAATCATGATTCATGCAAGTAAATGCTACTGTAATAACCAACGTCAGGTACTGGGGGGGAAATGAGGCCGAGCTGGAGCCACCCCTTGCCCCAGCACCCCTTGGACCCAGAACTGTGCAGAGGAGACACCCCTCATCTGGGGGCATCAAGACCTAGGTGTTGTATTCTCTCCCTGCCTCACCCGCTACCTGGGCTTGTTAGAAAGCTGCAAAGAGAAGCCAGCTGGAGACTCCATCTGAGAGGGTCAGAAACAGCCAAAGCAGAGACCAATGGTCCTCTGGAGAACTTTTTTCAGTTTTGCCTTGACTTGGTCCTGTGCTGATTGGTGGTTTGTTCCAACCCTCCCCCTTCCTCAGTCTCTTCACCTCAGCATCACTCCCTTTCCCTTCAGTGTCCCCTATCCCTTCCCTTTTGGGGATGCTCACCAAACTAAACACGTAAAAAAAAGAAACCATCGTTCAACTAACATGACGTTGCTGCCATCAACTTTTTCGGTTCAGCTCAAACTGTTCAGCAAATTCGACACAAATTTGCAAATAGTTCTGGTTGATCTGAAATGACATTTTTCGGTGAATAAACTATTCATCCAAAAAGTTTCACCCTGTTCTAAGCGTAAAAGCTTTGGGGTGGGGGCCCGTCTTTTTGTTGGGTGTTTGTACAGGACCTACCAAAATGGGGTCCTGGTCCTCAGCCTTACACTAATAATCAAAGGTAAAAAACCAAATGTATTCATCTGTTGGCTGTTCCATACATTAAATTGGGGTGGTAGATAAGGTCTGCAGAAGAGGGAGCCCTGCTCCATCAGACTTTATGAAGCCCATCAAAATGGGACATTCTGCTTGCAGTTTCAGAAGTTTGTGGGGTGGTGGATGATGCCCAGGAATAGAGCTGGGCAGGGGAAGTTTTGTCCATATTGAGCACGCAGAGCCAACTTTTGAAAAGACACAGGGGCAAGATTTTTCAACAGCCGGAATCAGAGCCAGATTTTTAAAAGAGCACCCACCATGCCGAGCTCTTCGGAACCGCCAGCCAGTTGTTTAGGTGCCTAAATGGAAGCCATGCTCTTCTGAACATCTGGTTCCAATGGTGGGTCCTGAGCACATCTGACAAGGTTATCAGCTAGAAAATGTTCAGTATTTACAGTTTAACATGGAGATAATAGCTGTTACCTGACTTTCCATCCTCGCACAGCACCTCACCTGCCATGACTCCGGTTCCCTTCGCCCCTTCCTGCCCTAGAGCCTCTATTTCAAGACCAGGTAGCACAGCTCCATGACACCCAGTCCCTAACCCACAGTCCACTTCCCCCATCACCATGTCCCCACCTGGACTCCTGCCCCTCTATATTTCTCTCATCCCTTATTCTCTACTTTCAGCAATGGTACTGCCAGTACCAAGAGTTCCAAAAGGCAACGTTTCTCACCTCGTGCAATAACTGTAGTTCTGCATTATGTGCGTCCCTAGGGGTGCTTCACTCCAGGTGCTCATGCGCCTCTCAAGCCTTTGAGCAGAGACTTCTGGCTAGCAGTGCCCATTCAGCCCACACAGGCGCCCTATGCCTTCTCATGGCAGACACCGAGGCTACAGAGGGGTCTGTGGGCAAACTGCCCTCGGTTCCTTCTCTACTCAGTCATCCCTAGGGAACAACCGAAGCAGAGGGTAAGGAGGGCGGGTAGGGGAGCACCCATTGCGGGACACAACTCAAAGAACTACAGTTACTGCACAGGGTGAGTAACATTGCCGCCTTCTTCGAGTAGCAGCATCCTTTTGGGTGCTCCACTTCAGGTGGAGATAAGGCCTCTGATGCTGAGCTGGGAGGGAGGGGATGTGGCTCCATGACAGCTGCTCAGGGGGCTCTGCCCCTCTCAAAGCACACCAGGGAGCCTGCAGCACAGCTGCCTCTATCAACAGAAGGGGGAAATACAGGCAGTTCAGGTGACATTCCTGAGCTGACCGTGCTCTCGAGAGAGATCGCGAGAGCTCCTTCCATAACTAGCCTGAAACTGCAAAACTTGCAGCATCACCAGAAGCGTTGGCAACAATGGGCATGTGAAACTTCAGGGACACCTGGTTCTTGGGTAAGGAGGGAAGGGGAGGGTTTGAAATGTTGGCTTCAAATAAGCAGCTGTCTTCAAATTTATAGCTCTGAGAACTCAGCCTGAGATCTGAAAGTCACACTGTTTTTTCCTTCTCATCATCATCATCATCAACAAAAGATTTTCCAGGCCAACAGGATCCCTCAGTTTCACTTGTGCAACCTTAAAATCTACAGATTATGCCTTCATTGACACCTCTGCAACTCCCATGGTCTTTAGTGCATTTGCATAGGTGTAACACCTGGGAACTTGGCAAAGAATTCTGTTTATGATGCACCAACAGACATAGAATCCATCTCTCTCTTGCTTTCTTTCATTTGGCTCTGCATGGCTAACAGAAACAAAAAATAATCTGATATGGGTCTGATACACATAGGCAGTAGGTATGCATTGATTCAGAAGGGCCATCTGACCATTCACTTTAAACTAGCAAGATGATATTTTGTCATTAAAAATGTTCACTAGTACAAGTTTGCTGTAAAAATACAAATACGAGAAAACACAGCAGTAAAAACAGTGCTATGAAAACTCCTGAAGACCAAAGGAATGTAGAGAACATCAGAACATCATTCAGACTGCGTAGGGTCTCATCACAAACACGCTCTCAGAAGCAGGAGCAGATCCATCTGCAGACACAGCTGATGTGCCGTCACTGGCGAAAATGTAGCTTAGGAAACAGAAGCTACTTCAGGGAAGAGCTGTGAAAGAAGTTACACTGTAAGACATGGCCACCAAGGCTTCATGACGTTAACCTCTGAGTGTGGTATTTATCTGCAAAGGAGGAGGCTTCTGTATTAGGCAGTAAAACATACAACAGACATAGAACATGGATTGTTAACGGCCGGGTCCAGAATCGTTTAATACTGTTTTTGAGCAAAGCCTGTAAAACCCTGTTCACAACATTACGAAATTGATTCAATTAATAATTCTTGGCACTTAATATTTTCCCTCCGTACATCCTCAAGTGATTCATAACAGTGAGACAGACATCATTAAACCCCAACAGCATTCTCAGCTGTTGTACATGAAGGCACAAGTAGGCATCATCCCTGTGCCCCGTGAAGCTTACAATCTAAATGGATACAAGGCTCACATGTCAAACCCAGAGAACAGAGCTAGCTGATAGATTTTCCTCTCTCCACCACAGATATGGGTTATTACTCACATCATCCATCCAGAGGGATGACTTCTCTGCTGCTCAGAGAAGTTAAGTGACTTAAGATCACACAGGTTTCAGAGGGGTAGCCGTGTTAATCTGTATCAGCAAAAACAATGAGGAGCCCTTGTGACACCTTAGAGACTAACACATTTATTTGGGCATAAGCTTTCATGAGCTAAAACCCACTTCATCAGATGCATAGAGTGGAAAATACACAGCATATGAAAAGATGGGAGTTGCCAAGTTGGGGGTCAGTGCTAATGAGCCAATTCAATTAAGGTGGAAGTGGGCTATTCTCAACGGTTGACAAGAGTAAGGCAACTCCCATCTTTTCATATGCTGTGTATTTATACCTCCTTCCAGTATTTTCCACTCCATGCATCTGATGAAGTGGGTTTTAGCCCACG